AAACATATGAAGAAATGCTCACGATCATTAGCTATTAGAGACGTGCAAATCAAAATAAGAATGAGATACCATCTTGCTCCAGCACTAGTAGCAAAGTTCAACCAGACAGAAAATAACAAATGCTGGTGAGGTTATGGAGAGATTGGGACTCTTATACATTGCTGGTGGGACTGTAAAATGATACAACCATTGTGGAAAACAGTATGGTGATTCCTTCAAAATTTGGAATTAGAAATATCATTTGACCCAGATATTCCATTACTAGGTATATACCCTAAAGAAGTGAGAGCCGTGACAAGAACAGATATATGCACACCAATGTTCATCGCAGCACTATGTACAATAGCCAAAGGATGGAAACAACCTAGATGTCCATCAACTAAGGAATGGATAACCAAACTATGGTACATACACACAATGGAATACTATGCAATGCTAAAGAATAATTTAGAATCTGCAAAACACCGCATAATGTGGATGAACTTGGAGGACATTATGCTGAGTGAAATAAGTCAATCACAAAAGGACAAACATTGTATTAGTTCGTTATTGTAAAAGTTAAAGAAAGGTTTATCTATAGAAGGAAATTTTCTTTGTTGGTTACCAGGGGTGAGAGGGGAGAGGAGGGAATGCTGTCAGATAGATAGAGATAAGTATTGATTTGGGTGAAGAGAAGGGCAATGTACCAAATGGGAGTGACCAATATGGCAGCATTGAGGATGAGAAAGACATAGAGAGGTACATGGGAGGTACGGACAACAAATATGAACCCTTTTGCACATATAGTATTGCTTTGTGAGTGAAGGCAAACATGAGTATATAGGTGGATAGATGGGTGGACAGCCTGAACTATTAGGTATGTCTATGAAATTGAGAGTGTATCCAAGAACATATATAGGGTTGGCAGACAATGATCCTGTAAGTTTATGTGAATGATCAGAAATCCCAGGTGTATAGTAGAGCTGACAAGGGCAAGGTTGTGGTCACTGTTTGGTCACAGACAGCTACCCAGAGAGACCGAGAAGTTGAACCTGTGGGTTTGGGACCATAGTCACAGGGGACATCAAGCTTAATTGGCATAACATACTATACAAAACATTGTTCCACCTCCTACTTTGGCAAGTAGAGACTGGGATCTTAAAAGCTAGCAAGCTGCCATCTAGATGCAACGATGGGTCTCTCCTCATCCAGAGCAAAGAA